CCGGCCCCCAGCACGAGGCTGGTCCGGGCCCCCCGCATGCGGCTGGCGGCCACGCAGACCCCCCCCAGCAGCAGCAGCGCCGCGCTCAGGATCGGGAAGATGCTGGAGGCCCGCACCACCCCTGCGGAGACAGCCAATGGGAGCCTGCCCTGCCCACGCCAGCCAATGGGAGATGGGGTGGCCAATCAGAGCGCGGGGACAGGGTGGGGAGCTGGGAGCGGCAGCCAATGGGAGCCCGCGGGGATGGCGGCCAATCAGAGGGCAGGAATGGCGTGGGAATCAAGTAGCCACCGAGGATGCTCGAGGAGGTGGCCAATCAGAGCACGCTAAGGGCAGGGGATCAGCTAACCCAGGCCAATGGGAGGCCCAAGGCCTGGTGGCCAATCGGAGCCTGGGAGCCCCCTAGGGGGTCAGTCAGCCGGCAGCCAATCAGAGGAGAGTGGGACCCAATGAGGAGAAAGGAGCCAATCAGAGCACGGGGGGGATCCTGCGTGCCTGGGACCGGCAACCAATTGGAAAGAAGGATTTCCAAAGGGGGTACCAGCAGCCTATCAGAGCACAGAGTCTCCAGGCTCGCGGACGCCACCAGCCAATAGGGGCACGGGGCAAGCCCAATCAGAACCGGGCACGTGCTCACTGGGACCCTCAGCCAATCAGCAGGGCAGGTTTCCTGGGCAATGCAGCCAATCGGGATGCCCCCTCCCGCCCTCCTCTGCCGGCAGCCAATCAGGAGGCGGCCCCTCCTCTCCTCTGCCGGCAGCCAATCAGGAAGCGGCCCCTCCTCTCCTCTGCCGGCAGCCAATCAGGAAGCAGAACCCGGGCACTGTTGCTAGGGGAGGGGCGTTGCCACGGAGCCTCTGTTGCCATGGGAGCCGCGTGGCTGGGGCGGTTGCCATGGCGACGCCGGGGCAGCTCCGGGAGGCTGACGGCGCCGTTGCCATGGCGACAGCGCAGCCGTTGCCATGGCGACGGCGGGATAACGCCGGGGCGTTGCTGGGGTGATGCCAAAGCAGTTGCCGGGGGGATGGCGGTGGTTGCCATGGTGACAGGGAGGCGGTTGCTGGGGTGATGGGGGGGTCATTGCCATGGGGATGGGGGGGTGATGCTTGGTGCGGTTGCCATGGTGACAGCGGGGTGATGGGGGGGGCGTTGCTGGGGTGATGCTGGGGCGGTTGCCATGGTGACAGCGGGGTGATGGAGGGGCCGTTGCTGGGGTGATGCTGGGGCGGTTGCCATGGTGACAGCGGGGTGATGGGGGGGCCGTTGCTGGGGTGATGCTGGGGCGGTTGCCATGGTGACGGGGCGGTTGCTATGGTGATGGTGCGGTTGCCATGGTGACTCACGGAGCAGGTACTCGGCGCTGTCGTGGTCGTACTCCATGTCCTCAGGGAAGTGGTTGATCTTCAGGCAGAGCCCCCGCTTGAGGCCTGTAGGGATGGGGGGACACCGGGATATGGGGATATCGGGATATGGGGACATCGGGATATGGGGACACTGGGATATCGGGATACTGGGATATCGGGATACAGGGATGTCAGGATATGGGGATATCAGGATATGGGGACACTGGGATATGGGGATATCAGAGTACAGGGATATCGAGATATGGGGATATTGGCATATGGGGACACTGGGATATCGGGATGCAGGGATGTCGGGATACGGGGATGTCGGGATATGGGGACACTGGGATATCGGGATACAGGGATATCAGGATACAGGGATGTTGGGATACGGGGATGTTGGGATCTGGGGACACCAGGGGGATGCCACGGAGCTGGGGACATCACAGGGATGGAGATTGAGGACCCCAGGGGCCACCTCCGGCTGTGCAAGACCCAGCAGCCCCTGAGAGTGCCCCCAATACCCCAATGATGCCCCCAATACCCCAGTGATGCCCCCAGTGCCCCAGTGATGCCCTCATTGATACCCCTAATGATGCCCCCGTGATGCCTCCAATGATGCCCCCAATGCCCCACTGCTGCCCCAATGATGCCCTCAATGCCCAAGTGATGCTCCCAATGCTCCACATTGATGCCCCCATTCCTGCCCCTGCCCCAATGATGCCCCCCATGCCCCAATGCTGCCCCCAATGCCCAAATGATGCTCCCAATGCCCCAGTGATGCTCCTAATGCTCCCCATTGCTGCCCATTGATACCCCCATTGCTGCTGCATTGCTCCCCCATTGCTCTCCCCATTGCTCCCCCATTGCTCCCCCATTGCTCCCCATTGCTCCCACATTGATACCCCCATTGCTCCCCCATTCCTGCCCCATTCCTGCCCCATTGCTCCCCCATTGCTACCCCATTGCTACCCCATTGCTCCCCCCATTGCTACCCCATTGCTCCCACATTGATACCCCCATTGCTCTCCCCATTCCTGCCCCATTCCTGCCCCATTGCTCCCCCATTGCTCCCCCATTGCTCCCCCATTGCTCCCCCATTGCTCCCCCATTGCTCCCCCATTCCTGCCCCATTGCTCCTCCATTGCTCCCCCATTCCTGCCCCATTCCTGCCCCATTGCTCCCCCATTGCTCCCCCATTGCTCCCCTATTCCTGCCCCATTGCTCCCCCATTCCTGCCCCATTGCTCCCCCCATTACTCCCCCATTGCTCCCCCCATTGCTGCCCCATTGCTCCCCCATTGCTCCCACATTGCTCCCCCATTGATACCCCCACTGCTCCCCATTGCTCCCCCATTGCTCCCCCATTCCTGCCCCATTGCTCCCCCATTCCTGCCCCATTGCTCCCCCGTTGCTCCCCCTTTCCCCCCGCCGTTGCCGCGCACCCTCGAGGCAGCAGACCCTCCAGAGCCCGGAGTGGGTCATGCCCCCCGGCTCGCGCCGGTCCCGCTGCCCCCCGTCGTCGCCGGTGGCGTTGCTGGCGTTGCAGACGACGGCGCGGGCGTAGAGCCAGTAATCGGTGCCGATGGCGATGGTCATGAGGCCGAAGGCCGCGAAGGCGCCCACGGCCGTGAGCAGCGCCTGAGCCCCCCGCTCGCACCAGAGCGGGCCCCCCCCATCCCAGCGCTTGAGCGCGTCCAGCCTGAGGCAGAGCCCCCACGAGCCCCGCCGGACGGGGGGGGGAATGGGGGGGGCTAAAGGATGGGGATGGGGGGTCCCTAAATGATGGAGATGGGGGGTAAAGGATGGGGATGGGGGGTCACTAAATGATGGAGATGGGGGGTAAAGGATGGGGATGGGGGGGTCCCTAAATGATGGAGGTGGGGGGTAAAGGATGGAGATGGGGGGAGCAAAGGATGGAGATGGGGGGTCCCTAAATGATGGAGATGGGGGGGTAAAGGATGGGGGGGGGGCAAAGGATGGAGATGGGGGGTCCCTAAATGATGGAGATGGGGGGTAAAGGATGGTGGATAGGGGGTCCCTAAATGATGGAGATGGGGGGTAAAGGATGGGGATGGGGGGTCCCTAAATGATGGAGATGGGGGGTCCCTAAATGATGGAGGTGGGGGGTAAAGGGTTGGGATGGGGGTACCTAAATGATGGAGATGGGGGGTAAAGGATGGAGATGGGGGGAGCAAAGGATGGGGATGGGGGTCCCTAAATGATGGAGATGGGGGGAGCAAAGGATGGAGATGGGGGGTCCCTAAATGATGGAGATGGGGGGTAAAGGATGGGGATGGGGGGTCCCTAAATGATGGAGATGGGGGGGAGCAAAGGATGGAGATGGGGGTACCTAAATGATGGAGATGGGGGGAGGCTAAAGGATGGAGATGGGGGGTCCCTAAATGATGGAGATGGGGGGGGAAAGAATGGGGATGGGGGGTCACTAAATGATGGAGACAGGGGGGCAAATGGTTGGGATGGGGGGGACCAAAGGATGGGGGAGATTAAAGGATGGGAATGGGGGTACCTAAAGGATTGAGGTGGGGGGGCAAAAGATGGGATGGGGGGAACCAAAGGATAGGGATTGAGGGGGAGCCTAAAGGGTAGGGATGGGGGGAGTCAAGGATGGAGATGAAGGGAACCAAAGGATGGGGATGGGGGAATCGAAGGATGGGGATGGAGGGGGGAAAGGATGGGGGGGGGACCAAGGAATGGGGATGGAGGGCACCAAAGGATGGGAATGTGGGGGAATCAAAGGATGAGGATGGGGGGGGGCCTAAAGGATGGGAATGGGGGTATCAAAGGAGGGGGATGAGGGGGTAAAGGGACAGGACCCTAAAGGATGAGTGGGGAAGGGGCTATGAGGGACCCCAAGGATGGGGCCCTAAAGGATGGGGGGGACCCTGGTAATGGGTGCGGGGGGGTCCCCAAGGATGGAGTGAGGGGGGGGGTCCCAAGTAATGGATAGGGAGGGGGTTATGGGGAGGGGCACCAGAGATGGGAGCCCCAAAGGGGGGGGGCCCAGGTGAGGGCTGTGGGGTGCAGGGGGACCCCCAAGTGTTGGGGGGGGTGATGGGGGTGATGATGCCCCTTACCCTATGGGGGAGGGGGGGCCCTTTGGCTCCGCCCCCTGCACCCCCAAGGTGCCCTCAGGGGCCTGGGGGGGGGTGGTGGGGAGATGAGGCCATGGGGGGGGAACACGCTTAAGACACGCTTGGGACACGCTTAGGACACGCTTGGGACACGCTTGGGACACGCTTAGGACGCGGCTTCACACGTGACAGCGGCTCCTCCGTGACGCCTGTGGGGACAGAACAGGGCCTTGCATGGGGGCCCTGCCCCCCCCATTTGTGTTGCCCCCCCCCCCCCCCCCCGTGCTGAGTCACGGCCGCGTCACGCGTGGGTGCCTGCACCCGCACCCGGCTGGACACGACCCCCCCCTCACACACATGTGCATAGCGTGTGCAAGGATGTGATAGCGTGTACATGGATATAGCGTACATGGATGTGATAACGTGTACATGGATGTGATAACGTGTGCATGGATGCAATAGCATGTACATGGATGTGACAGTGGGTACATGGATGTAACAAGCATGTACATGGATGTAATAGCCTGCACATGGATGCAATAACGTGTACATGGATGTAACAGCATGTACATGGATGTGATAACATGTTCATGGATGTAACAGCATGTACATGGATGTGATAACATGTACACGGATGTTGTAGTGTGTACATGGATGTGATAGCGTGTGCATGGGTGTTGGAGCATGTACGTGGATGTTGCATTATGTGAATGGATGTAATAACATGTACATGGATGTAATAGAGCATACGTGCATGTAATGTGTACATGGATGTAACCGTGTGTGCATGGATATTGGAGCGTGTACATGGATGTGATAGTCTGTACATGGAGCTGATAGCATGTAAATGGATGTAATAGAGTGTGCATGGATGCAATAGCGTGTACATGGACGTAACAGCGTGTACATGGATGCGATAGTTTGTACATGGATGTTAGAGCATGTACATGGATGTAACAGCGTGTACCTGGATGCGATAGCGTGTACATGGATGTAAAAGTGTGTACATGAACGTAACAGCATGTACATGGATGTGATAGCGTGTACAGGGATGCAGTAACAGGTACATGGATGTGGTAGCGTGTACATGGATGTGATAGCGTGTACATGGATGTGATAGCGTGTACAGGGATGCAGTAACAGGTACATGGATGTGGTAGCGTGTACATGGATGTGATAGCGTGTACAGGGATGCAGTAACAGGTACATGGATGTGGTAGCGTGTACATGGATGTGATAGCGTGTACATGGATGTCGGAGCATGCTCATGCCATCAGGACGCGCACACGCGTGTGCAATCCCCCCCATGGGCCCCGTCCCCCTGCACCCCAAACCCCCGGACCCCCCCCAGACCCCCCAAGCCCCCCCCCGGACCCATTGCCCCCCCCCGAGCCCCCCAAGCCGCGGGGTCCCCATTTACCTGCTCGGGAAGGGCTGAGCCCGGTTTTGGGGTCTCCCCGTGCGGGTCGGGGGGGTCCGGATGGGTCCCGATGGGTCCGGGGGGGGTCCCGGGGGTGCTGGTGCCGATGCGGGTCCGTGCGCGGCTGCGGCGGGTGCGGGGGGGGGGGGGGGGGGGGGAATGATGATGGGGGGGGGGGGGAGCCGAAAGGGGAGGGGGGGGGGGGGCGGGAGGGAGGAGGAGGAGAGGGGCGGGGCCAGCGGCGAGGGGCGGAGCCTGGAAGCTTCGGGGGATGACGTCAGCGGAGGGGCCGGGCGGCGCCGTTGCCATGGGAACGCGGATGCGGCCGTATCCGAGCAACGGCGAGGCCACGCCCCCTGCGCTGGACCGGCCCCTTCCGCCCCCCCCATCGCCCCTTATTGCCCCCCCATAGCCCCTCAATACCCCCCATAGATCCTAATTGCCCCTCAATTACCCCCTTATTGACCCCCCATAGCCCCTAAATACCCCCCATAGATCCTAATTGCCCCTCAATTACCCCCTTATTGACCCCCCATAGCCCCTAAATACCCCCCATAGATCCTAATTGCCCCCCCAATTACCTCATCACCCTTTATTGCCCCCCCTAGCTCCTAAATACCCCCATAGATCCTAATTGCCCCCCAATTACCCCCTTATTGACCCCCCATAGCCCCTAAATACCCCCATAGATCCTAATTGCCCCCCCAATTACCCCCATCACCCTTTATTGCCCCCCCAGGTCCTAAATACCCCCATAGATCCTAATTGCCCCCCATTACCCCCAACAACCCTTATTGCCCCCCATAGACCCTAAATACCCCCATATACCTAATTCAGTTACCCCCCACCCTTTATTGCCCCCCATAGACCCTAAATACCCCCATATAGACCCTAATTGCCCCCCAGTTACCCCCCACCGCCCCTTATTGCCCCCCATAGCCCCTAAATACCCCATATAGACCCTTATTGCCCCCCCAGTTACCCCCCCACCGCCCCTTATTGCCCCCCATAGACCCTAAATACCCCCCTATAGACCCTTATTGCCCCCCAATTACCCCCCTATCGGCTCTGGGGGTATTTGTGGGTCGGGAGGGGGGCTCACACACAAAAGGGGGGGGGGCATCGTTTGAAATCCTTTATTGAGGTCGTATTGATCCCTATTTACATATCACACAGCGGGGAGGGGCAACCCCCCCATAATGGGGGTCAATGGCCCCCCATCCCCCCCCCCACATTGACCCCCATTTTGGGGGTGTTCAGCCCATTCCCCCCCCCCCCCCCCCGATTTCCCCCCCCCCTCTATTGTGGTTGGGGGGGGGAAGCTACATATGGAAGCTGTTTATTGCCACAGGTAGGGGGGGACCCCATTGCATTGGGACCCCCCCATTGCTTTGGACCCCCCCATTGCTTTGGGACCCCCCCATTGCTTTGGACCCCCCCATTGCATTGGGACCCCCCCATTGCATTGGGACCCCCCCATTGCTTTGGGACCCCCCCATTGCTTTGGACCCCCCAATTGCTTTGGGACCCCCCCATTGCTTTGGGACCCCCCCCATCACCCCCATTGGGGTTAATGGGGACCCAGTAAAGATGGCCGCCAACGCCTTGCTTGTCCCTCATTGGCTGGAGAAGATGGACGCTGCACCTCATTGGCTGCGGCAGGCACACAAGAGAGCCGCCATTGGCCAGCGTTGACGGGACAAGGTGGCCGCTGGTGGCCCCATGGGCCCCGTTGGTGCCCCCATTGACCCCCATTGATCACCAATGGCCCCATTGTGCCATTGCCCCCATTGCCCCCATTGCTTCATTGCCCCCCTGACCCCATTGCCCCCAGCCTCCATCCCCATAGCATCCATGTCCCCCTTGTCCCCATATCCCATCGTCCCCTGGACCCATTGACCCCATGTCCCACCATCCCGTTATCCCATAGCCCATATCCTATACCGCATTTCACATTATCCCATTACCCCTATTCCCCTGTCCCATTAACCCCATATCCTATATTCCATCATTTTCATCCCATATCCCATTATCCCTATTCCTGTATCCCATTATCCCATTATCTCATCATTCCCATTATCCCATTACCCCATCATTCCCATCATTCTTACTATCCCATTACCCCATCATTCCCATTATCCCTAACCCATTGTCCCTATCCCGTTGCTACCTTGCTGCTATCCCATTGTTATCCCATTGTTATCC